GGCAGCTCAGCTTTGCAGTTCCTGCAGCGAAACCAGGAAACATTTCTACTTCTTGAAACTCAACAGAGCTTATCTCTCTGTGATAACAAAGTTAAAACCTTTAGATATTTGACTGCGTCATTGTGTGCAGGGGTTAGTGGAGTCTAAAAAATATCCCTGGATTTGCAAACCCACTGCTCAGATGGCAAATAAGAGTTCTTAACAGGGTTGATTTCTGAATTTTCTGACCCATTCCAAGATATTCATTCTACATATATAGAAACAGTAAAGTATTTACTGTTAGACACTGAAGGGTATAAATATGAATCCCCTTTTATGTAACTGTAGCTCAAGAGAAATGTCTTTTTTTTTGTCCCTCACCATGACCAGCCTGATGAGGCTTATTAGTTAAAAACATCCAGCTGGGGTCTTGTTGTTTGACTCACTGATGAAATATAGCTTACAATTAGTCCATTCTCACTGAGCAGTCAGGTTTTCCTGCAAACATCAGCCTGGGTATGCGACTCTGCTTCCACCTGGTCCCCCGCATGCATGGCCACTGGGCTTGCTTTCTCCGCTTGGCTCTCAGATGGCATCCGCTGCTGCTTTTGAAAGAACCGCACCTCCTATTGTGGCCCTGTTAGAGGCATTCAGCTCTCATTCATCAACTTTATAATGAACGAGGCAGTCTTGCATGAAGTGGCCGTTAAGTGGAAATTACCATATTTGTCAGTTTTACTCTTCTTTTTGACTCATTGCCAGGCTTTGTGAAACAGGAGTGGGTCGTATTGAATAAAGTATAACTCTCATTTCAGTTTTAGGAAGAAACGTGTGGAATATCAAATTCTGCATCTTTTTTTTGACATATATAAATTACTTCCCTCATGAGTTATAAGGCTATTTGACTATCACTGCAACATTTCTAGAATACACACACATCTTTCTGCTCGTAAAAGTTAGTGTCAGTGAGTAGCAGTGCCTCTAGTTAATATTTAGCTGTTGTGGAACATTAATTTGACTCAAGCTCATCTCCTGCTCTCTGTCATGTTCTCTCCATGGCTCATGGCACTTTTTTATGGATCTCTTTCTTCAGTGGCTTTCTTTTTTGCCATTTTCTTTTAGTGGTGCTTCATTTTTCTGTAGGAATCTTACCACAGTAGCTGAGGAGTTTGTCCTGTAAACAGTGAGTTGCCAGTTTCAGCTCCAGCATCCATCCAGTGATTGTGTCCATGGGTGAAACACTGCCTTGTCTGGTTTGGGTGGTTACCAAGGGCCTAGTGGTGCAGATTGTGTAGTAGACTCAGGGTAGCTGTGGCTAACATGTAGCTTACCACCATGACAGTGTAAATGACTGATTGTACTGTGGGGTGCATTATTATCCTTGGACTTAATATAGAACAGGGGTTTTCATAGTATGAAAGGGTGAGCCCCCCTCCGGGGAGCACTATGCCTGCCCCCCCCCCCCCCAAAAAAAAATAAATAAATAAATTAAATAATCAACCCACACACAAACAAATGCCACTACAAAACACCTCGTAATTGCTTTTATTTTAGAACAATCTCATCGTTTAAAATGACACTATCTGAATGAAATTTTTTATATAAACATTTTAAAACATTTCCTCCCATTTTAATTATTCTATCGGGGCCTTTGTATGGAAATACGCCCTTTTTCATTTTTCTAATGATAAGAACAACCCCAAACTCACTTTTCAACTGTTTTCTCAAACAAACGTTACATCTGAGATTCTGTGTTTAATGTTTGAGATACCAACAGTGTTTTCACATCTTAACAAAAACATTTTGATCAGATCTTCATTGAGAGCTGTGGAAATTCAGTCCCTACTGACAGCCAAAAGTGCGCAAGTGACACGTCACTCATCCTCTGTTTCAAGTCCATGTCACAGCTCAGCTCAGCCAGAGCCTCTTCCTCTCCTGCTGAAAGTCCATCTTTGAGTGTCACGGGGAAGGAAAATGGGTTTCTCACCCACTGGCCATTGTCTCCTCTTCAAAATACTCTCCTAATTGCTTGCGCATCCCATCCAAATGCGCGCAGACAGCCTGCTGTAAAAACTCCAACTTCATCCCCGCTCTGGCCAAAACATCCTCTAACGTGGGAAACATTTCCACTGATCCCCGCTCCACACGCGCATCCCACTGTTCCAACTTTGTCCTAAATCCATATTTATTTTTTCCCTCGCACTTTGAAAACCGCTGATATAGAGCTATACAAGTACAGATCATTTAGCATTAAAACATGGCTAAATGCATAAGAAAGCCATGCTTGTGGAGATTCTTAGTCATCTAGGTCACACTCATTCCAAAAAAGTTAAAAAGCATTCCACTGGACTTTGTTTCCAAGTTTGAAGATGTTTCGCTTCCCATCCAGGAAGCTTTTTCAATTCAAAATGTCAGGAATAGCGTTGAGTTTGAGGTTTTATAACGTGGACCAAAACAACACTTTGTTTTGGCTTAGAAAACATGTAAATTGAACCGGACGAACGGCCCCTTAGGAATGGGACGTCTTTTTGTTGTTGTTGTTTTTTTCGTTTATTGAAAAAGCTTCCTGGATGGGAAGTGAAATGTCTTCAAACTTGAAAATTAAGTCCAGTGGATTGTTTATTTTTTTTACTTTTTTGGAAAGAGACCACCGGACCCCGGACTCAAAAACATAGACAGGTTTTGGGTATTGCAGGCTAACAAAGAACCCAGATGACAGCCCTTCTCTAAGGGGCGGACCGATTCGTTCGGTTTGGCTTGCATGTTTTCTAAGCCAAAACAAGGCTTTGCTTTTGGTCCATTCTATAAAACCTCAAACTTGACACTATGACATTTTGAATTTAAAAAGCTTTCTGTATGGGAAGCAAAATGTCTTTAAATTGGTAACAAAAAAAAACAAAACCAAAAAAAATACATTATTATTTTTAGGGTAACCTTACGTCCTTTTCCTCTTTGAACTTCACTATCATGCAAAAAAAGTTATGCCAGTTAATGCTTTGTTTCTAGAAAGCCCTGTCTAGTCAAGTATACACACAAACCCCTCTAACACAAACATGTTAAAAACTGCAGAAAGCAGTTAAATAAAGGGGAGAAAGGAAGTTGATTGCATCTTAATTTCAACAATTTAACCTTACTGAGGCTCATTTTTCCAGGGAGATGGTTTTTATTAAAAGGCTGGCTGCAGCCATGGCTCTGATTGTAATTGTGTTGACCCAGCCGTGCATAGGCACTGCTCCTCTCCCTCTTTGCTGTTATCAACACGCTGTTCACAAGATTTTGTGCTTTCAACCACGTTAAACCTCTTATTTTTATTAAACTTCCAATAAGTACCGCTGACCCTGTAGTGGTGGATACCGCTCACACAGCTAGACGACTTGGCAACAGCTTCGCTTCTCTGGGGCCTTGGCTGCAAAACCCCTACAGTCCCGCCCCATATGTTTACACTAAAGTCCAAGTTCTCTTGATTTTACTCTCCTCTTTTCCTAACATGTCGCTGCTTTTATAACTCGCCTTTGTGATGAAGCCCCCAGGACAGTAGGTCCATTCAATTCCGGTCCGGGTGTCCTGCTTTAAAGCTTGCTGTAGAAGTATAATAAAACAACAGGTTGTTAGGGTCAAAGATTCATGTTTGGGAGTAGATTCTAGATTTTTTATTTTTATTTTTCATCTGAATTGCATCTAATGTCTCACTCCACTGGTTTTGTCCAAAAATAAAGTAGCTGATAACCTGTTATCAGTTAAAACTCAACATTTGCATGGTATAGTGGAGTCACAGCAGACATCTCCCTGTATAAGGGGTGGCTTGTGGGATAAGTTCATGGTGGGCTCAGAGATCAGCAGTGCAGAACATCGACCACATGGCAAATGTCACTGGTCCCTTGACTCAAGCTCATTGTCAGAGACAGCTGTCTGTTGGCCTATGGGAAATCCATGGAGCTTTATCCAGCTTGGACTCCTGCTGGACCAGTTTCACACTGCTGAACTGGAAAATACCAAGCTAAGCTGAGATTGATACTCAGGCCTTGGTTCTATCTTTCTTGAATATGGATGACACAATATGAGAACCATGAGGTAAAGAATAGTTTCTTTTATTAGTAAGAAAGCAGTCGACATCATGCACTTGTCACTTTTTATCTCTATTTTGTTAGATTATGTCTTAGGAAAACAATCTCCTGGGATAATGTTGCTAACCAGCATTTAAAAGCTACACTGTGAAAGACGCCTCATCTCTCTTTGAACATAAACCAAGTTTTCTTTAGCAGAAAAATTCTTAAAGGGAATGTCCTGATATATTAACATACATGGTGCTTTGAAAGAGACCCATGCTGTGTTTTGAATATGATTTAATATACAAAATAATTTTTAAAATGAATGAAATAAATACAAATCATATTACATCATCCAAATACATAGAGAAGTGTTGTGTGCATTTATATTTAGCAAATCTTTTTTTTAAATGATGTTTTTGAGCTATATTCCTAGCTATACAAATCTATAAAAGGAAATGTTTGCTCAATTTTGGTAGAAAAAAAATCTATCAAGCACTTTCCAGTATGATAGAAAGGTATCACAATTGTTTTATTTTTGTTTTATTTTGTATTTTTACCACATATTCTCAGTCTCATTCATATCTGGACTTTTAATGGGCATCCATGGCATTCAGAGTCATGTCCCATTGTCCACTAACGTCTTTACACAACCTATTTACCTATCATAATATTTTCAGAGTCAATAGATTTGATATAATTAAAGATTTCACAGTAAAATGGGCAATACACAACCACATGCCCTACATTTAGGCTTTGATTAAATAAAAATGAGAAAATAATTTCTCATATTTTTTTTTTCTCATTAAACATGAGCTCTTATGCTTTGGGGTCTTCAGGTAAAATACCAGTAAGGTACATTAAAGTTTGTGGTTATTACACATTAAAGCTGTTTGAATATTTCACCTATTATAAGCAATCTCCCTACTGTTGTTAAAAGACTAACACTTGTTCTCCATATCTGTCAATTCTCAGGAAGCCTATGCTAGCCCGGGGATGCTGGAGTTTCCCATTAAGTCTCCTTCAGAAAACAATGACGATCCAAACTCCCAGTTTGTTTATGAATCTATTGACAGCTTGGACAACACGCCTACAACCCGGGCTAATGTACCTGCACGCAACGGTGAGTTTTATTTTATTTATGTTTACTAGATTGATGGGACGTGTATTCTGCCTGCTAACCGCATACATTTGATGTCTGACGCTAACAACAAAGCTTATGAAATGTGTGTTGCACCTCCCTCTTTTTAAGCCTAGAGGAACATCATTTTCAAAGCCCAATCTTTTTTCTTCACATTCCAAGAGGCACCATTTCGCTGTTCAAACCTCCCCAGGGATTAACGTCAGCCCCAATCCCCCCTACCTCCACTTCACTCCACTGGTTTCATTTGGGTCAATTTCAATTCTGGCTGAATTAAATCAGTGGGCTGAGATCTTGGCTTCTTAGGTAGATTAGAATTGGCAATTCAATCCTCAACCAGTCACTGCTGTCATCTCACCACTGACAGACCTTTCACATATCCACCTTCAGAGGCTGAAGGTGATTGCATCAGTGTGAGGAATGATGGAGCGTGGCAAAGGGTTTCCCCTCCTCCCTTCTTAGCCCTCAGCAGGTTCCTGAATGTTTGTTGAACAGGGCTTGTGGTCAGATTTGTAGAATATTTTTACATATTTCTATAAACTACCTACCTATTTCATTTTTTTTTTAAATAAGGCATTTGATAAAAAAAATCCATCATAATTTAAAGGAGTGTGAGTTTCTGGTCTTTTCTATTGTGGAGTTTTGCCCTTCTGCCCTTCGTCTATCCACTCTCCTATTACTTTTCCATCCTCTCCCTTCCAAATCCCTCAAGAGTGATGCCACTCTGGCACTGATCATAGAAGATCACAGACTGAGTCAGAGGCATCCGTCAGTTAATTAAGACTCCAGATCGATAAGGTTTGCCCCTGAAACTTTACCGCCATCAGAACTCCCCCCTCTCTCTCTTCATTGCAGTCCTTTAATTTTTTATTTCCTTTGTTTGTTTGCCAAACGTATTTCTCTTTGAATCGGTTCCACATAGTTAACATTTGTTTATTCTACAAGCTTTGCAGACTGATGTTCTGATCAGGACCTATTCAGTAATTGTAGATGAATTACTATTGAAGCTTCAAGGGCATGTATCTCCTGTAGAGTAGAAGGGAAATGAGGCAAGTGAAAAAGTTTTAGGAAGGTGGGTGGAGTGGCTGCCAGTGCTGGAAACTATCACTGCTAAAGCTCAGCACACTCAGATCTCTGACATGTCTCGTCTCACTACAAGAAAATGTCAGATATTTTCCTCCAATGTCTTCAGTCTGCCTCTGAGTTATTAACCTGCGCCTGGTTTCTCTGACAGCTCTTCATCTTTTAAACTGACGCACTTCTTCTATTTGGATTTTGTACGGGTTGGGGTATATATTTATAACTCCAACACAACACTGACTCACACTAGTCAAATAGGGCAACTGAAATCTAATTGGTGGAGCATAAAGTTTTCATTCAGCTTACAGATGAAATTGTTATCTTACATTTAAACTAACAGATATGTTCGAGTAATTTGAGGTAAGATTTATTTTGCATTTTAATCTTTGTTTTTAGATTAATTCGATTTTTTTTTTGGCTCACATCCATATATATTGGTGTTATGACCTTGACGATCAATGCTTATCCTCTGTACCTTATCATGAATATGCACAGCATAAAAGTGCAAAATCTCTTTGCACTTTCTATTACTAAGTTTAAGCATCATTTTTGCTGCATTTTCATGTTTTAGAAACAAATAGCACAGTGTTAGGGCAGAAGAACTGACATTATTTCATGAATTCCTTTGATTTTAAACACAATACCAGTTATAGCGCAGATATTACAGGAAGTGATGCTTTTAGAACTTTTGAATAAAACATATCTAATTGAGGAGAGTTTTTTTTTTATATCTTCATTACTTTATAAATGAAAAGAAAATGTTACTTATGACAAGCATTGACCAGACTTCACCAGCCCGGATCAACCAGCTGGGAAAGACAAATTCAAATATTTTCCAACCAGTTAATCCATAATATATAACCACCAAAAGCTCTGAAAATGCTAACTTATTGAAAGGGAATCCTAATTGTAGCACGATTATGATAGCATCCAGTCAGATGTGCAATACATGCCGGGTTTTTTTAGGCCCAGAACAGGTGGACCCAGTATTCGAGGCAGACAAACAGTTTAGGTTTAACAGTTTATTAAGAGCAGAAGCAGAGCGGGTGGCATAAGCGTCTACAGTGGAAACAGGTTAGTGATCTGGTTTTGCTTAAAGTGCTTGCACACAAACGTGTAGGTCACTATCTGGTCTTAATGTCCAGTTCTAGTCCAGGAGGTGGGTTGCCAATCCAGTGAGGTGGTTGCCGCTCAGAGAGTCCCAGATGCAGGGGTATTGGAGGTTGGAAGAAAGGCATTTGGTAAGAACTATGCAGACAAACATGAGCAGGATGAGGTGTAGAGTGAAGCCAAAGATTAAGTCAGGGGATGTGGTCGATGGTCGGAGTCAGGAGATCAGAGCCGTTGAGATGCCGAAGGAGTCGGTTCACCGTTCCAGGTTCAATTCACAGAGCAGCAGACTGGCTGGACGAGGGCAGGCAGGTTAAATATTTAGGAAGTTAATCCGGTCGGTATACAAAGGACAGAAATCAGGCAGGTAGTCAAGTCAGGCGGAAGTCGGAAGATTGGTCAGGCAATCATAATCAGGGGGGAAGAGGCAAGCTCAGAAGTCAAGAGGCAGACAGGTCAGAATTAAGAACGCTAGAATGAGTCACTAATGGCTCGAAATAATCTGGCACTGATGACTGGTCTGAAGGCTGGTTATATACTGACACATGCAGGTGGATCAGGTGAGAGTTAATGAGAACTGGGCGGAGTTAAGGAGGTGTGTGATCAGACCAGGCATCAGTGCGAGATCATGAGAGTTTTTGTTGTTTGACATGCTGATGATAAATATATCAAGGACTCATGGAACTTTATTGTCATACCAACTAGTATTTACATATTTGTACAGTAGCAAATATATTGAACTGAGATCCTGGATATATCTACAATTAAATCCAACTAAATATTCAATTAGAAAGACTAAATGCTGCAAAACAAAACCAATATATATATATTTTTTTCTGAGTTTCAACTATTATTACTGATACCCAATTTTAAATCAGACAAACTATTGCTGTTACATGGTAATATAATCCACTCACATTTAAAAAAAGGAAATGATAGATTAAAAAAATATATATATATTTTTTTTTTCAGCAATTTGAAATACTGTGTAAAAATGACTGTGGTGTAAAACATCATTGCTGTGCAGTGAAACTACCATCTTAATTTTTTTCCCAGATTTTAATTTAGAGAAAGGCACTGTGTGTCAAAATTGGACATAAAAAGTATGATTGTAAATGTCTGCAGGCCTGACAGAGAGTAGCCGTTTCCACTCTGTCTTTTTCTGGGTGTTATTTCAGGCAGACGCAGACATATTGCATGGCGTGCGAGATGTGACAGTAGTGGTTAGAGGACAGATGTTGAGATCGGCTCTGCGAGGTCAGGAGACACACAGCCGCTAGGGCTTGACTGACAGCTTGATGTGGAGTATATCTAAACCTGCTAAATGACTGAATCATGAAGGTTAGACGTCAGGGTTTGAGTTGTGGCACTGCACACCTAAACTGCCTGGACAGAGTTACAGCCATGTACAAATAGAAAATCTTTGCAGCAGTGATTGCTTGCATGAGCCTGCACACATTTAGTACTGTCAGAACTTGGTGGATTTGGAGTCCTTACGAGACTAAAGGAATTTCCTAATCAAATCAGGTGCTTTCCTCTGATGCTGCACTCCATTATGCAGCCTATTCTATCATAAATGAACCAAGAAACAGAGGTAAATGAAATGGAAAGGTTTTGATGCTGAAAAATTAAGACCCAACTATAACTGTGACTTATTGGAGTTGGCAGCTAATCAATATAGTGAAAATGTAAAGTTGTTCCTGGCAAGCCTTGGTTCTGTTAAAAGAGCTAAGAGACGCAACACTCTGAATGCTCTGACATGTCACATACAAATAGGTGACATTTTGGAAAACAAAGAATATAACATGTTCTTTGTTCATAATTATGGCACTGAATTAAATATAAAAATTGTAATTGCTATTTTAAAACTAAAGAAATGACTGTATTGATTAGGTGACACATGCCTTTAAGTTGATATAGTGGTATCATATTGGCTGAAATGCTCGTTTGCCTTGACGTCCTCTGAACTATGTGAGCTGGCTCTTACATGCTGGTGATTCATTTAGCTGACTGAATTATTGACAGCTCCAGTTCACAGGTGCATACATTAAGCTTTTGTACATCAAGTCCAATTGTAATGCATCCTGCTTGATTCAAATTAGACAGTATTGCTTCCCCTTTTTTTATTTATCATGATGCTTTCACCTTCAATATGTCTTAGATTATGAATTGCCATAAATAAGAGGATAAAGTCAACAAAGCCTATAGCTGTAAAAAAAAGAAACATTCACAGAGATTTAAAGTGAAATAAGTTACTCAAGGTGAAGGGTATTTTATGCTGAGATGCATTGCCCATTTGGACACTCAAGGCCATGGATCATCAAATTTTAAGTCCAAGGTCATTTAGATCACACACAGCTTTCCGCTGTCTGTAATTGAAAAATGTCACTAGGTGTGGGTTTCTCATGCTGGGGTGAAAATTAGGACTGGTGGTTAAAGCGTTCTGTGTTTGATCTCGACCAGATTCACACCAAGTACAGGTGTCTTAGTCACACATAGATCTGGACCGGAAGCTTGCAGCCCGTCTGCTGGACTTGTTAAACTGTATAGAGTTGAGTTTAAGAATCCTGCAGTTGGTAGAATCAGAATCAAATTTAATCCCAAGCAGGGTTGCACTTACAAGCATTTCAGTTGGTGTTGATGCTGCAGACTATATATACGTATATACGTATACATATATATATATATATATACGTATA